CACCACAAAACACACCACAAGCCTCACCGAACGTCTCCTTGCTACCGTGACCTCGCCCACAGGAAGCCGCGGCCACGTGGCGGCCGGGAAAATGGCCGCGGATCCGGTTCGTAAGTCGAGGCGAGTTTGTAAACCGAGGTAAATTTTTCCTGCCGAAGCTGGTCGTAACCCGAAATGTTCGTTAGTAGAGGCGTTCATAACCCGAGGTACCACTGTATATCACAGACAGTGAATTTTATCTACAGTCTTAATTAGTTTTCTGTACAAATTTATTGAAGAGTTGCTTCTTATATTCAGTAAATCCTAATTTGTTTAGATTTGGTTGTCCAAAAGATTTAGTTGTTAGCTTAAATACTGTTTTTCGAGGAATCTAGTTCATCTTCATCCAAAGGTATCAGAGTTGACATCCAAATGTTTACCTTCTTTTGCCTCCTCTATTCTTTCTTCACAACAACTGTGAGAGAGATTTAGCTGAGTAAATGTGAGTAGGCTAAGGTCAGTCAGCCCTGACCTTTGTTGTTGAAATAATTGTAAAATACAGAATAAAACACTGAAGGCAGATATCATATATCAAACTATGTATTTTATGTTTACTAGAGGAATCAATAGCTTAGCATGGCTCAGATTCTCTCATTTCTGAAAAAGTAGCACATTTTTGCAAGTTTTGCTAGAAAGATGATATTCTTAATTGGACTCCCAATTATCAAGAATAAGATATTTTATCACTTGCACGTATTTTTTTTTCTTTATGTTTGTATTACATGCTTCTTCTAGGGAACACAAAATATAACATATACTGTATTGCGTTTTATCATCACATTCTAACAGGGAGGTTTGGGCTGAAAATAAATTATTTTTGTTTCCAAAGTAGCTTAGCGTATGAATGAAAAAGAAATTGCATGTAGAGTAACATAATTAAATTGTGCCATTCTTTACTAGGCACATCATGATTTGCTAGATTCATTTAAATTATTTATAAATATTCACTTAGATGATCATTTCAGTCTCTAACATTTTACCCCCATCATATCAGCTTACCTTGAGCTTGATCAGTTGTTGTATGTCTTTTTCTAAGGTTTTCCTGGAAAAGTCACCACGGTCTGTTCATCACAGACCTTAAGTGTTGTATAAATTAATTCAGAGGTTTTGAATATTTCCAGATTGCTAATAAGTTTGTGTTCCTCTTTTCATATCTTTTCCCTTCACCGATCCAATCATACTGTAGAAAGCAGAGATTTTGTAATAATCTCTATTATGCGCTTGTATTGTAGAGTGTAAAGAAGATAACTGAATTGCTCAGTACTCAAATGCTTGCCAACTGGCAGTACTCATCACAGAATCAGTTGTCTGGCCTCTGACCCATCTGCTAAGTTCAGCTTGACCTTCACTCTTGCTACTAAGTTATCTGAGAAGAAAAGGACCATATGGCAATTTTGACCCAATTATTTTGATTATGTTATTTTTGCACCAGAAGAAAATATAAGTGCATTCAGATTTTTATGGTTAGAGAAATGTAAGAATACAGGAATAAAAGTACATATCCACAGTATGTAGTCAGTTTAAAAATAGAAATTACCATAGCTGTTCAAAATATAAAACTTGTCCCATTTGATTATTTATAGCCCTCCTGTTAGACGCCAGAGAGCAAGAAGAGATCGACTGTCTCGACATAATTCCATTAGTCAAGATGAAAACTACCATCTTCCTTATGGACAGCAACAAGCAATAGAAGAACCACGAGCCTTTCACCCACCAAATGTGTCTCCCCGTATGTTGCACCCAGCTGCTCATCCACCACAGCAGAATGCAGTCATGGTTGACATCCATGAACAGGTATGGGAAAAGATAGAAAAACATTCTCCAGATGTCTGATATCCAATACTTTTTGATGGTTAATATTTCCAATTACCTGGATACATTGGAAGGACTCAACCTCTATGATTCTGTGTGAGTCACTCTTGTTTGTGCTGCTATCTGTGCTGGATAACTGTGTGTCTGCATTAATAGCAACCTGATTAAACAAGGTAGTCACACTTTAGTGAACTCTGATTGGAAGGCCAGAACTCTCCCTCATTTCTCCAGAAATGTGGTGGTCTATTTCTTGATTTCACATGAATTTTCATAATCTATATTGTGCCTCAGCACAGTGTGTAGGTATTACTGGCAGGTGTGGCAAGTGCTCTGAGACTACCAAATCTTCCAAAAAGTAGGATAAATTAATCCACCAGGCATATTAAATGTAGTTTAATTATATTTAGACACTCCTTTTAACTATTCCGGTTGTAGAAAGGCAGAAGAAATTGCCCAGTCTCCTCTTTCGTTATATTGTGATAGTCTAATATATGATTATCATACAACTTGATGGATTATGTTTGAACGATGACATACTGATAGTACCTCTGTAATCATGAAGGTCTTCTCAAAGAAATTCTCCTTAAACCTTAGAGTTGCAATGAATGTAGAGTACTGTAGATTTCATATGGATGACCTAGGCTGCCAGAAGGCCTGTTTATGTTCATATGCAGCAGTAACTATTTTTAGTTTTGCATACACAATACAACATGATATTTAGATCTGGACTGAAAGCACTTTAGATCTTGAGTAGGCAGAAGGTTGATCAGGGCCTATCACTTAATCTTTGGGTCATTGGCAGTGAATCAACAAGGATTCCAGAGTCACAATTATACAAGAAATAATGACAATTGGCAGAATGTTCCTAATGTTGGGATGCAAGTATTCTGAACTTGGTGCACTCCAACTATTTCAAATGTTCTGCCAGCTACAACTGGCAGACCAGAAACAAGTGCAGAGAAATGTTTGTCTCTTTCTATAATTTTCTGTAATTTTCTGTTTCTAAATTGTTTCCATCCTGTTGCATGTAGTGTGAGGAAGAAATTTAGACCAGTTCTCAAGTTGGCTTAAATTAATATGTTTTAAGGCTTCATGGCATTTTATTGCTAGGGTTTGGGGTCTACCAGATTCTTTGAAAAGATCATTGGACATTGCTGGCCTTTTAGGTACATGCTCTTCCTCACTCTTACAATAAAATCAGATAGTATCTCTGGTATAATGCATACATCTGTTTTGAGGAGATATAACACCCAGTTTAAAAAAAATTCAGGGTCACTGCCCATTCCATTAATGTTACTCTGTTGCTAATGTACTCCCTGTGCTTTCAGAGCCCATTTGAAATAAATAAAATACAGTCCCCAACTGTAGGGGGAAGGTGTATGCTTCTGCAGTACAAACATTCTGATTCATCTTTAATATGAAAAGGGTTTAATTGCTTTTAAATATTTCTGCTAGTGCACATGCTGTTTTTGCTTGTAGAAGAGAGGTAAGTCAAAATGTAGTTTAGTGTAGGATGGCATTTTGTTGGTTTGTTGTTAAGTCTTGAAAACAGACTCCAAAATAATAAATGGTACAGTGCAGCAGTGAGTTATTTCAGGAACCACCTTGCTCAGTTATCTCCACTCATCCAATTAGACATCTCAGGAAGGCCTCCTGAGAATCTCTTCCCCTTGTAAGTTTTATGGGACCTGGATGAGGCATATGATATCCAGACGGTTTGGAAGGCACCTTTCCATCTTCTACTCTGGAAGATCATGAAAACCTTTCTTTTCCCATCAGCTTTTGGGTCCACTTGATTGGTTACTTCTGTATATGTATATTTTTGCTGTATCTTTAATTGAATTTTGTTTTACTACTTGTATTATCTTGGTTGATTCTTTCTTTATTGTACACTGCCCAGAATTGTAAAATTGGGGTGGCTAACAAACATGGCAAGCTAACAGTCCTCTCTGAGCTTGAAGTATTACAGTATGTAAAATTACAGAGGCTGTCTTTCTACAGCAAGTGTAGGGGCACTCTTGGGTGGTTGAAGTGTGTTCCACTAGATAAATAGAAGGCTAGGTTTATTTAATCTGAATCTGATATTTCTGTTCAAAGTTGAGCTCCACACATGGTCAGAAGATAAACCATGCAGTTTAAGTAGGAGCAGTATTATAAAAAGAGTTACAAGTGAGGACACTGGGTATGTGTTCATTGTGTTCATGCATGATTTCTATATCTGGATGTGAAGTAAAAATAATTCTTGCAATGCTGAGGAGTAAAGAATCATATTTTAGCTGTGGCTGTCAATTGCCTTGATGCAATTAAAAAGAGGTAGATTTTGTTCTTTGTTATGAAAAGATATCTGCTGAAATGTTGGATTGCTACCAAATAAAGACTCAGTTGATAATAGCTGGCAGGTGATTCTCAACCCTGCTAAAATAGTTTTGTGGAAAACCAGAATCCCAATGACTTCAGGCTTTCCTGTTATTTTAATCTTTGTATATTGATATTGCTTCAGTAAAGAATCATATTTTAGCTGTGGCTGTCAATTGCCTTGATGCAATTAAAAAGAGGTAGATTTTGTTCTTTGTTATGAAAAGATATCTGCTGAAATGTTGGATTGCTACCAAATAGATACTCAGTTGATAATAGCTGGCAGGTGATTCTCAACCCTGCTAAAATATTTTTGTGGAAAACCAGAATCCCAATGACTTCAGGCTTTCCTGTTATTTTAATCTTTGTATATTGATATTGCTTCTCATTGTTCTCAGATTCACCAGGGCACAGTCCCTGTTTCATATACAGTGACCACAGTAGCACCACATGGGATCCCACTTTGCACAGGTCAGCACATACCAGCTTGCAACACGCAGCAGGTCCCAGGGTGTTCTGTGGTTTTCAGTGGGCAGCACCTCCCTGTCTGCAGTGTGCCTCCTCCAGTAAGTAATTCTTTAATTTTAATTATGAAATACATGCTGAAAATAATTGGAAGAGCAGACAGCTTTAAAGAAATGTATTTAGACCTGAATTCTGTGAATATCTATAAATATAAATAATTGAAGTTTAATTTTAGTGACATTTAAGTTGCATGTAAAAAAATTAAGAATCCGTTTTTGTGTAACAGTGCATCATCGTGTATTTAAATAACTGTTAGGTCTATTTCACAAACTTAATTACTTTAAGAGGAATATTAGGGGTTTTTTTCCCTTGATGTTTTGAATATTACTTCCATAAAGTAGTTTGTGCCTAACCTCTGAATGCCTATCTTATCCTATTATTATTTTTATTAGTAGTATTTATCCTGCCTTTCTTTTTATATATACTCAAGGTGGCAAACATACCTAAGTCTCCTGCCTGCTGTTTTCCCCACAACAGCAGTCCTGTGAGGTGGGTTGGGCTGAGAGAGAATGACCGACCCAAAGTCACCCAGCCAGCTTCCATGCCTAAGGGAGGCTTTAATTACTATTTTTAAGAACTTTGGTTCAGAGAATTCTTTCAGAACTGTTATTTTAAGGTTAAAATAAAATGTCTTTCCTATATTTGATATCCCAGGCAGATTTTTCATAAATTACCCTCCCTTCACTGTGAAATATCATGTTACCCTGAATAGTTAATAACCTAATAGAATAAAATACATCAGTGCACAGTTATTGAAATTGACTTACTAACATAACAGTTCAGTGATCATAAAAGAATTTATGAGTCTTACACTAGTACCTACAGTTCCTACAGAAGAGATGTAACATTGCTTAAATTTGACTTAAAAGATTCCAAATAATAATATTGTGAGAAATTCTCCTCTTGATTTCTAAACAATTGGAGTTTATATAGTTTGTAATTATTTAATTGTTTAGTTTCTAAACAATTGGAGTTTATGTAATTCCCTAGGAAAGATTAATTCTACAAGACCATAAGTTATTTCTTAATTTGCATAATTAATGTTGCTTTTATTAATAACATGGAGGGAGATAATCTATACTGTTGCAACAGTATTTGTTTTGTAAATAAATAACGCTTTATTTTATCTAATTCCTTACAGCATCCAAATACTGTATGTCACATAAGGTTATATATGTTTATCTTCTGCAGATGCTTCAAGCATGTTCCGTTCAACATTTGCCGGTTCCATATGCAGCTTTCCCACCCCTTATTTCTAGTGATCCATTTCTCTTACATCCTCCACACCTCTCCCCACACCATGCTCCACATTTGCCACCTCCAGGCCAGTTTGTTCCTTTTCAAACACAGCAATCACGATCGGTAGGTATTGTTTTAAAAAAAATCTTCTAGTAACAGGTTTTGGCATATTGTATTTAAGATATCGTATTTTGGTGGCTGACTGCCAAGGGTTATTCCACTATTAAATTGAAAGTTTCTGTGAGTGATAACAAATTTTCTAGTATAGGAGTCTCCGATATACAAAAACCAATCTAGCCTTAATAACTTTAATTCCAAGTTTGATAGAGGAACAGAATTAAAAATGGATTTTTAAGTGTGTACTGTGGTTTCCTATCTGAATGTGGAAAGAATAAATCAGTTGCTATTCTCTTTTAATAGTCACTGGGGTTTGGGTTTTGAATTTTAGGTGCAGTTTCAGATTACGTTTTGCAAATTTCAGTGCTTTGAATCAATAAATTTAAACGTTATTGTTTGCCTTAAATTGAAATGGTATTTTGTCTTAAATTAATCTACTGTGGGGCTAATCTTTATTAATACAGAATACAGTAATATGAGTAAATAGCTATGCAAAATACCTGGGAAAAAATGCTACTTCCAGTCCATGAAAGTATTGAATTCTTTTATATAGGAGGCTTTCTTTAAATGGTCCAGAATGCAAATATAGCTCTGCTTCGGTTAGAATGTACCATAAATCTCTTTACATCTCTTGTTATGCACACAGAGAATTTTTTTAAAAAGCCTTAAATATATATTTTTAGTCTCACTGTAATGGTGAAACAACATCTCCTGGTGCTTTTCAGGAGTATTCAGACCAAGTTTCAAAAGGCTCTTCAGAGGCAGGGATCCAAAATTGAGGTGACAATGGTTAGCATATGAAGCCCATTGTTACTAAGATACTAGGTTGGCCTGTTCCAAGAAGGCTATTAATTTGGAAGTATGGTATATCATTTCCTGGTCCTCTTTGTTTTAGTTTTTCACACTGCCTAGAAATATTTATAATTTTCTAATTTAGACTACAGTGGGAGTTCATGTAACCCAAGGTTTTCCTAAAACGGGATTAGGCAACTTCTGGTCTGCATATGCTCTTCTAGCACCTCATTTATAGATCCTATAAAATTCTGAGATTAGACTTCTGAAATTTGGTATTAGCACAGCTATTTCCTGATCTGAAAATGCCCAGATAAGAGTGGAGCTACATGTGCAAGGCAAAGGTACTTAATCTTCCACATCCCACAAAATCTCAAAAACACAAAAATGTGATTTTGTGCCTATGAATGCAACATGCAAAACATTCCTCTTATTCTTTTTTAAAAACATTTAAAGAGGTGCTTTGCTTTGTTGAAAGTTTGAATGGACTCTCTTAAAGCTATCTTGCAAAACAGCGGAGCCCACTAGCTTCTAACGGCAATGCAACCATGTTGTTTTACTTCATTCTGTTTTATAGCTCCTCCTCAGCACAGCAGGTACTGCTGGAGAATGCTTAGAATTGCTGTGAAGTAATGCTCTTCTCTCTGCTTTCTCCAGCAGTGTTCTCGAGAGCCAGAAGTCTCCTGCTTTAGGGGGCACTGCTAGAAAAAGTTTTGCTTAGCCTTCTCCTGGAGAACTACCCAACCTTCTCACTGTTCTGCAGCAGTGCTTACTAAATTTGGGGAGCACTGCTAGAGTATGTTCAGCAAAACTGGAAGAGGCTCCTGCATAGTCGCTGTGTTTGCACAAAAGCCTGTTGTAACTTTAGGTGACATGAAGTTTCAAGACAATGCACAGGGCTTTCTTGAGGTTATTGATGTCTCTTTACTTTGAGGAAGACCATCATGCTGCAGCTGAAAGCTCTTAGTCTACAGTTTTAACTCTAGAAGAGAATGTATGTAGCTCAGGGTTGAACTTTAGAATCCCTGGTGTTCTCTGAGCTTGGCTGTTTTCGTGCAGACATTTCGTTACCTGTCTAGATATCATCTTCAGTGCTAGAAGGGGGTGGGGCTTGCTTTTTTTGGGGTATATAAACAGAGAGCAAACCCCACTCCCTTCAAGCACTGAAGATGTTACCTAGACAGGTAATGAAACATTGGCAAGAAAACAACCAAGCTCAGACAACACCAAGGACTCCACAGTTTTAATTCTAAATGCCAAAAGAAGTTAAAAGCTATCAGTTGTACAATACTAGAAAAAAGTTGTGTCATATATAGGTAGTCCTTGACTTATGACCACAATTGGGACCGGAACTTCCTTCATAAAATGATGTGGTCTCTAAGTGAGTCGCATCCGGTTTTAAGACCTTTTTTGCTGCAGTTGTTAAGCAAATCCGGCTTCCGCCATTGACTTTGCTTGTTGGAAGCCCCCTGGGAAGGTTCCAAATCGCAATCACGTGACCCCAGGATGCTGCAACCGTTGTAAATACATGCCTGTTGCCAAGCACCTGAATTTTGATCACATGACTGCAGGGATGATGCAGTGGTCGTAAGTGCAAGGACCATCATAAGTCACTTTTTTGGCATGGTCATAACTTTGAACGGTCATTAGACCTAGAACTACCTGTTTACTGTATAGTAAGGCAGCACCTGTGGTAAAATAGACAGCAAATTAATTACATTTGATACTGTTTAGCATCAGAATGAATGCTTTAAATTAGCAAGGTTAATTTTAAGCAGTAGATTCTGTGTCTTCAGCTCTGCCCTGAAAACAGTATAAACATGCACTGTCCATTTGTTTAATTAGTCAACTTACCATATAATTAAAATGTTAAGTGTAATCTGACATGCCTGGTTTCTTTTTCCTTAGCCTCTCCAAAGGATAGAAAATGAAGTAGAGTTACTTGGAGATCATCTTCCTGTAGGAGGTTTTACCACCTATCCACCTTCTGCCCATCCACCAACATTGCCTCCCTCAGCTCCTCTTCAGTTCCTAGCGCATGACCCTTTACATCAAGAGATGTCATTTGGAGTAGTAAGTAATGTTTTCAAATATACTGCCATGAGCTCTTATACATTTAATAAATACCTTTTGTTTTACATTTACATTTAATAAAAACCTTTTGTTTTAGTTTTTTAATACACATTTCTGAGCATATTGTATGAAGTATATATTTATCATACTTACATACTTATATAAGTATATATATCAATGACGACTCCCTGCAAAGTCAGGGAATGAAAATAAGGCCCTGAAGATGTGGTTTTGTCAGCAGGCCTGGAAACCCCAGGCTGATGCAGAGCCGATCAACTGGTTAATCGGAGTGTATTTGTTGCTGCCAGGGGGTTGGGGGGTTTATTGGTTTTGTTTTATGAGTTTTAATTCTGTAAGCCACCCAGACTCACCTTGTGTGAGATGGGCGACCATATAAATTTGTTTAATAAATAAATAAATGTAGGGTGATATGTACCCTACATAAACTAGCAGCAACACTGTTTCTCGTAAGAAATAACCATAAGAATTTGTTCTTAATGGCCTTTCAGAAAACCACTCAGGAAAGTGTGGGTCTAACTTTGCAAGGGTGCAGGCCACCAAGGAGAAGTATTGCCTCGGGGTCTCAGCCATCTCATTTCACAAAAACTGGGGCCATGAAGCATCTCTAACTGGGATGAGTATACAGGATGGGCCATTTGTACGCAAAAGAGATGGCTCTAATCCTGGAAATAATCTGGGAACTAAACCACACAGATTTTTCAAAGTTAAACCCGGTGCTTTAGAAACCTACTGGTAGCTAGTGTCTACACTATAAAGGAGCTATTTAAGGATGCTTTTCCCCCCATTATGCAGGATGTTGCATTTTGTACCAGTTGCAGTTTTCTAGCAATGTTCAAAAGTAGTCCCATTTAAGTATCTATAGTTTAGTCATGGTTAAGGTATGAGTTATTTTTGTAAAGGTCTCCAGGCAGGGCCTTTACTGTAGACAAACTGTGTTGCTCCAAATAGGACTGAAGCTGGGTGAAGACCTCTCTGGCCACAATCTGTATCTCTGAATCCAGCAATAGCATTGAATAGTTCAGCCTATTTCATCCCATCTGCACCTTCACAGTGTACAAGCACTGTGTCAAGACTTCCACAATATCTCTGACCCAAGCCAGCACGATATAAAACTGGGTATCATCAGGATGTTGATAATAACTCATCCTGAAGTGTCAGATGACCTATTCCAGTGATACCACATAGGTGTTAAATAATAGGGTTGAGAAGACGGAATGCTCCCTGCCTCTACCAACTGGCCCCTTCTGCTTATGAAGAACCATGAAAGATAGTATCCCCAACCCCTACAGATGGTTTGGAATGACACCACAGTCAGTGCTATTGAATGCTTCTGAGAGGTCAGAAAGGTTCAAGAGGGATACTCTGCTCCTATGTGGATCTCAACAGAGGTCATCCATCAGAGCCATCATCATTTCTGACTGCATGATAATCTCCTTCCTGTAGGGCATCCTTAGTTGTGCAGTTATTGCAAATGGGACATAAACTAACCTTGTGTCCCATTGACTTAGTACACATTATCCAGTTAAATGAAATAATTTATTTTTTATAAAGCAAGGAGCCAAATTGTGGAGTTACAGGAAAATAACACTGTGATAAAAAAAAAAATCTTTGACATCTAAAACCTTTTTTTAGTATAATATATGACTGATCTCATTTTATAACTTACTGTACTTTTAAAATACTTTTCTTTGTTTCTTTTAGCCTTATCCACCTTTCATGCCTCGAAGACTCACAGGCCGCAGTCGATACCGATCTCAACAACCAATTCCACCTCCCCCTTACCATCCCAGCCTATTGCCATATGTGCTGTAAGTTTGACACCTGTTGTTTCCTGTGAATTGTAGGTGGGTTATGCCATTTTGCTGAAAAGTCAGGTACAGGTAGTCCTTGACTTATAACCATTCGTTCAATGACCATTCAAAGTTATGAAGATGCTGAGTGAATGATCTTTATGACTGGCCTCAGAATTCTGGCCATCCCAGCATCCCCACAGTAATGTGATTGTGATCTGGGCACTTGGCAACTTACTCACACTTGCAGCACCCTACGATCGCATGATTGCCATTTGTGACCTTCCCTGCCATCTTCCTCAGAAAGTCAGTGGGGAAGCTAGCAGGGAAGGTTGCAAGTCATTGGGGTAAGTTTCCCCCACCCGCGCACTCTTCCCCAGCCCTTCTGTGCTCACGCCATGCCGGCCACTTGTGCACCTTTCCCAAGTATCACCACACCTTCCTCGCTGCACCTCCCTCATGTTCCCTCCCTGCACCTCCTGCGCACCCTCCCACACTCCTCCCTGACCCTTGCCATGTCACCTGCGCATTGCCGTGCACCCTACCTGACATTCCCTGTGCCTCCCTCACACTCCCACATGCCCTCTCTGCACCTTCCACACACCTCCTCACCTCTTTCCCCCACCCAGCAGTAGCCACTTACCTGCCTGCTGATCTGCTTATGAGCCGCCTGGGACTTGCAAATTCCTGCCGGTTTCCCCAGTGACTTTTTTGTGGGAAGCCAGCACAAAGTTGCTTTGCCTAAATGACTGTGAGATTTGGTTAACGACAGCAACCGGGACTGCAGGGATTGCCATTGCTAAGTGATGCAGTCATAAGTCGTGGACTACCTGTGTTTGATTCATCCCCCCAAAACACATGCTGTTTGAATGCAAACAGCCTAGGGAAGGCATCAAATATTGTCATGAAAACTTAAATTTATTGAAGGCACAAGGTTCCCCACTCTGTCCTAGGGTTGTATATGAAGCTTCTAATTAAGATACAGAATTTTGAGTTTTTGGAAAATGGTAGCTCTACTAATCTCATAAAAAAGATATTAGGAGAGTTTTTTAAAGTGCAAATTGGTAGTTATCAGTAAGAAATTATAGCAATTGGATGAGCTGCTTTTGTTGAATAGTGGAAGTTGGAGAAGTAAGGTTAGATGTAAAGCGAAATGTGTCTAAGAGTGCCATATTGGTGCTACAGAACTTTCTGGAGAATGTGTAGCACCTATCAATAAATATATTACAATCCTTTTTAGCTGCTCTTATTTTTATTCTTTTGTATACAAATATACTGTGTTTGTTTCCTCCTTTGTATTATTTTTCCAGATTTCAGTACGGTCCCTATTTTTGCTATTTTAATCCCAGTCCCCAGTATGATTGCCTTATGGATTCCTCCCTAGGAAAAGATAAATGCTTCCTTTTCCTGTTGAAAGACCAATTCTTAGTTTTCTTTTTTGTAGTCCCACTGTAGCTTGATTTAATACTTTATTTACTTAACCTACAAGACATCGTATTACTTGTTTTTAGATAGTCACAAATCCATTTGTCAGTAGCATCATACTGTCTCCAGGCTCTTGCTCATGTAGTAGCTTGGGGAAAGTAAGAAAGAGCAGGAGTCTTCCTATCTCCACCAGACTC